AATCAGGAGCCGTTTGCGGTATGGCATCAAAGAACCCCGGGCTCGCTCCGTGTATCGCTTTTTTAAAATCAATTTTCGAGATGACTCCCCCCCCCCCGCGCGTATACACCACATCGGTTCCTCATGCTAATCGGCAACGAGACCGGTGTGACGGTTTTTTCAACGAAGCCGCATTCGATCTGTACGCGTTGCTATTTTTTTGTTTTTTACCCCCGATTCCTCGAAATTCACGGCCGTACAAACACATCGGCGTACTCAAAAATCTACGTGACCATAGCCCGGCTGCTCTTCATCGCCCCGTTTATCTTCCGACTCCGAAACCACCTATACGTCCCCGGATATTCTGAGTGATCGTAAAATATAATGTATCCCCTAAGCGCGGGTGAAAAAAAAAAAAAAAAAAAAAAATTTGAAGATCGAAAAAAGCCGAGAGACAGGGGAAAAAAAAAAACACCTCCAATGGGTCTCGGGGCCTCAATCTCCCAGCATCATCAAGAGCGAGCGCTCTCTCTCTCGCGGAAAAATGCGCGCACTGCACACGGAGAGAAAAGACGGACGCGAAAGCGCGAGCATTTATGTATACACACAGCCGTGTCCCTGAGCGCGGCTCTTGAACTTGGGCCAGCGCATAATATCCTTCGGTCGCTCCGGTGTATTGTTACAATCGCGCCAGAGACGGTATACATGTATAGTGGCTGTGTACCGCGGGCTCCTCCGGCGAAGCCAAAGGGAGACGCTCTCCGATGCACTGCTCTTTATCGCGGGGGTATTGAGTAGCGTGGGACCGTCTCTCCTCGTAATCAGCGTCTGCTTCGTCTAGCGAATTTTTCCTACGTGATCTCCTTACCCCACCCGTCAAGTCTTCATGTGGACGCGATCGTCTCGTACCGACGAGGATTAATTGTTTTGCGTGCGAAAAATCACGCCGGGATTCCTCGAATCGCCCGTCTAGCGAATTCTCCGCTCGCGAGAGATAACGCGATCAAGCCACCGACTCATCTCGCGTTGTTGTTATTTTTTTCTTTTATCACTTTACCCTTTTTCCACGACACGAGAAACCTCCACGCGAGCTGTGTCGACTCGATTTTTATATCATACACGTGTGAAACGTACCTACATACAATAAATAGCACGAGTACATGAGCGAATGGTATATTATATATACATATAGCGCGGTGGCCTCGTACAAATGCAAAGTTCGAAGCTCCGTCCCATTGCGTACAAAGATGCCCCGAAAAATGAGTATCGAGCCACCCAAACCAGTAAATAACGAAAGTCGCTGTTCAAGCCTACTTTTTTTGGGAAAATCAGACAATTATTGTTTTTAAACGAATTCGCCAACAATTGCATCTACTGTGGCACACACATACGCCAGTCTGGCCGAGTCGCGGTTGTACAAAGGAGAGGCTCGAGGAGTCGTTTACGAGGGTTAATCCTCTCTTGCAAAGTCATACTTTGTAGATTTTAGCTCTCCTTCCCTCGCCTCGCAATGTAGCAAAATTTCAAAACGGGTAAAGTTGAGTAGCTAGTGCTGGCGCGGGCGTTGACAAACTAATTCCTCGCTCCTCGCACACGAGAGGTGCAAAGGCAGCGCCGACAGGTCTACTCCTCGGTTCTCTCCTTCTCGACTCTCGTATACTTTGGTCGTCCTCGTGGGCGTCACCCGCAAGGCGATAAATATCGGCCACGACTTATATATATATATATACGCATACTCATAACGCGCGTACACACAAAGCCTCGTCTTTTATTATAGGCTGGCTTTGCTACGTGCCGGGAATCAATAAGTGCTTCTTTCGTCGCTGATCGTGGAATAAAAAATCAACTCTTCTCTCTCTCTCTCTCGAGTCACATTGTACATAATATGTACTTTGGGCTCTCGGCTCAGCTTCAATAAAAGCCATCGTCCTTTGTTAATACGTAGGTATATACCATACGGGGGCCCCATTGATATTTGCATCTAATTATCCCTGCTTCGCCTCTGCTCCACTGTAGCACCTTGTGCGCCAACAGTTTTGAATTTTCTCGCTCCCGAGAGAGAGAGAGATGGCTTTTCATCTATTGGAAATTTTCGAATGTATATGTATACGTGATTATTCATGACGATACCCTCCTTTTCACTGGAACGATATTTCAAGGGACACTCCGCGTGTGTATTATGTTTCATCGAAGAATTTTTACCCATACGGAGCCTTGTTTGTTTACCGGTGGACCTGCGCCAGTTGTACAAAGAAACAAAATTCAATGCTCCATCTACATTGCTGATTACTTCGGTTGGTTATGGTATTGAATATAAAATAAAAATAAAACGATGCTTGAGAAAAGAACGCGTGTGTATAAATGTCGCACAATGAACCGATGGAAACTGCAGGCATCGGATAATTGATCCCAACACCTGTGTCAATTAAAATTTTAAGTCTATGCTGTACGTATACACAAAGTCTCTGTTTCGAGAGAAAAAAAAAAAAAAAGAAAAAAAGAAAAAAGAAACCCTCGACTTTCTCGTGAATGGCTCTATTTTTCAAATGTATATCATTATCCGCGAGCGTTTGCTTGATACCTAATTATTTATTTAACCCGGCAATGCGACGGAGCTGGCGATATTTTTATCGTATACACGAGTCCGTGAATCAAGGACCATATGCCGGTGCCCCTTTCCACACGTTGTCGTTTGTTGTACTTTTGCTCCCCCCCCCCCACTCCTCTAAAAACGTAATGGCAAAATTGTCGTGCTATTTGTGTTGGCGCAGGTAAATTTGTAACGAAGATAATACACGACAACCGTACACGAGACACTTTGTTGCGAAAATATCCGACACAATGCAGCCTTTCGATTAACGTTGAAAATTTAACCATCTCGGCGGAGTGAGAACTTGTTTCGATCATCAACTCGTGCACGAAGAAAATTGGCACATCCGGTTCTCGAGGATTCAACTCGATGGATACATCGTTTAAAGTTTCAAGGCGACACGTTTAAGGGATGACGAGTTTGTGAACAAACCCAAATCACTGCCCGGTATCACGAAAAAAAAGCACCCTATGGTCCATAAAAAATGTTTGTAAAAAAAACCAAAACAACATTCAACGAAAGGAATTTCCGTTGGAATCAAGGTTTCCCCGAGCGTACGCGGAGGTTGGTCTCGGTAGCGCGCATCGGGTAGGGGGGGGGGGGAAATACGCGCTTTATTTTTTGCGTCATCGGGCGAGCTATCTCGTTATTGGTAGAATACGCGGCTTCGGTCGGGCAGAATTTTCCCTCTCGCGGACGCCCCTCCGAGGGAATTCCGCAGCGGCGCAGGAAAAAACCCCCGCCGAAGGGATGGTAGCGGCATCATCATCAGCAGCGAAATAAGAAAAAAAACAGTCGCGGCAGATCGCTCTCTCCCTCCACCGTCGTGTGAACGCATGGTGCTCGCGGACAGCCGCGGCTGTACGTATATACAAGAACAGAGAGAGAGAGAGAGGAGTAGAAAAAGGGGTGGGGAAGGGAGCGACGTATAACTTATCCCGTCGAAGGGCGAACGATCCGGCTGGGCGCTCGTATAATATACCTATGTGTTCGGGCGCGGGTTTTTCTTTTCCTTGCTACATCGGGAAAAACCGGCGATTGGCAGGATGGGGTTGGAAAAAGGGCGGGAGGCGCCGCGCTCGGGGACGCGAAAAGCGCGAGATCATCGGCGACGGCCACCTCCTGCCAGCCTCCGCGGCGCGCGCGCTCTCCCCCCACCTAGCCGGCCCCCTACTCCTACGGAGCGGCTCAGCGGGCGCGACGGCCGGTCGGTGGGGCGCGCTCTCCGCTTCGCTATTGGTTGAACGAGGGGCCGGGCTTCCCCCACCGGGCAGCTCGGCCCCTCCCAGCCCCCACCGCTGCGGCGAGGCATCCTCCTCCAGCCAATGCATCGGTCCTCCGACAGCTCTTAGTTTCAGGTTAGGAGCCTGACACGACGGGTTTCTCTCTTTCTCACTGAGCAGCGCGAGAGCGTCGGCCGCGGCCCGCAGTATAGTCCAAGCTGCAGCAATAGACGAGGAGGTCGTTGACAATCCCACGTTGACCCACTGCGTGCGTGCAATTGTTGTTTCGCACTGGTGGGGAAATTGTCATCCCGAGGACAACTGCGGCAGGAGCAGCGAGCGACGGTGACGAGATGACAGTGCAAAGAACGAAAATTGTGTGACGACTAAAATGTTGACGACGTGCCAGTGACAAGACTAATGTGAGAGCACGCAGCTCGCTTCAGAAAAAAAAAGAAAAAAGTGTCGATCGATGTATCTGATCATCAGTGCTAGTGATAAATATGAGCGCGTGTGAACAAATCGACCACAAGTGATAGAAAAAAAAAAAAAAAAAAAAAAAATTATCATCTCAAGAGATAAGAGAGGCGGACTTGTGGGAAGTAGTTGAGATGCCACGGTCCCGTGCCGCGGTGAGGAGACGTTCGCGTTACCGGTGTGCCGCAACAAAGGTGACAGTTGTGCTCGGTTGTTGTTGATACACAGCTGATTATTGATATAAAGATAGAAAAACGAATCACCTAAGTACGAGTTGTCGCGTGGAAAAGAAAGGAAGAAAGAAAGAAGGAAAGAGAGTGAGGCAAAGCCGGGAAAACGAGGACTCTGGAGGCGCGAGGTATCGGCGAGGTTGGCGCAGGTGCAGGTGCTGCAGCAAGCACGGGGGTTAGCAGCGGCGGTGGTGGCGGTGGTGGTGGTGGTGGCGGAGCAGCAGCAGTGGTTTCGGACGCGCCGGGTAAGCACGAAGCCGCCAAAGTGGCTTCGTCACTGGGGCTCCAGGGGCCTGCTGTGCCGGTCGGGGCCCAGCTACTCCAGGCAGCGGCCGTTCCAGTCGCAGCAGCCACAGCAGCAATCACCTCCGCGGCCGAGGACCATGCGAGCGCCGCCTCGACCATATACCGTGCCAACCTGCTAGCCGGGACGAGCGGTAACGTGCAGGCGGCCCTCCAACAACCGGCAGCTAGCCTATTATCATCCCTTAACCCGGCCGCTTTGGCTAGGATGCAGGCTTCGGCCGAGGCCAACAACTCGCTCGATCTACAGTCCATGCAATCCATGGAGTGGCTCTTCAAAAAGGAGCCCATGTACCTCCTCGCCCAGTTTTGGCAACAGGTAAGTCGTACTATTTTTTTTTCTTCGTTTCTTCTCTCACCCACCCCCGTACATCCTCCTTGTATTTCAAGTACAAATATGTGCGTGGTTTTTTTTTTTTTTTTGTTTCGCTGTACACATTATACTTACCTTCCAATTAAAAGCCGCGGCCAAAGAGTATCATCGATGGATGGTGTCATAAAACTCCCGATCCGGTTTATACAAGTACAAAGTCCCAGCGCGGCGCGAACTGTCGCAAAAAGTGCGCCGGGTAATTCGCTGGCATCCGAGACGCGCGCGCGATGCTGGGATGCCCGTGTGACGGCGACGCGAGAGATTTTTCGCTTTTTCTCGCGAACAACCGAATCGACCATCGATTAGCGGCGAAGCGTTAATTCGCCGACAATTTTCCTATATACCCCTTCTCCCTCGATACTCGAGAAAAAATAAAATTAAATAAAAGATACTCGAGAACTCGGATAAGTGTTATACTCGGTTAACAGCCGACGACGAGGAATGGAGCAATTTGCTCGTGACGTTCGATAAGTTTTCAAAGTGTCGAGTGTGTGTGTGTTGTGCGCTTCACGAGATAGGTACACCTGATGCAGGCATAATTGCATCGATCCTTCTGTCACGTATACATATTATGTGAACGCATGAGTGTGTGTGCGCTTGAGTGATGGAAATAGCAAAAGGTGAAATCTCAAACGAGTCGAATAGCGCAGTCAGTCGATGAACCCGCGAAATTCCGACAGAGTCTGAGAAATAGGTATAAAACCGGCACGTCGGATTTGACATGTATTTTCGGAACGGCATCTCGAGACCCCCCAAAAAGTGACGTGGCTGAGCTAATAATTACTACACATGTAACGTAGAAAAAAAATTTTTTTAAATAAAAACAAAAAAAAAAAAGAGCAAAAATGTGCGCGCTTATCGATACACACGAATCCCGTGTAACGCGTTTAACAGCTCGTATAGAGGTATACGTATACCCGTTCGCGTGTTTAATTGACAGCTCGGCCGCGAGGCTGATAGCTTGCATGGTAATGCCTGATCGCGTTCATACACTCCCGACGTTGCTCGAGAATTATATACACACTTGACGAGGGTTGGCTCGCGTCATATACATGTGTATGTATATACACACACAGTAGTATTATTATTGGGAATCGGGAAAAGGATTTCGAGCCCAACGTTGCACGCGTTCCGCATCGGCAAAGAGAGAAATTTCCGTGCATCCTGATGTATTATTATTATTATCACTATGGCTCTCACAGCTCTCGAGTGTATATACACACTCGTCAGCGGTGGGTATATAGATCATCAAATTTCCGCCATCCGGCTTCGATCCGGCAATCACCGTATACGTTATTAATCGGCTATTTTAGAGACACGTCCTCCTCTCGTGCTCGACTATCACCCTGTACATGCAACAATAACAGCCGTGTGCTATTAATCCAACGAGATTATATAGAGCCACGGGTCTCAACAAATCGAGTATATACATATACACTCGAAGCAGCGCAAAACTTTTAATACTCTCCCGCGATGTCGTACGGACAATTTGATTCCGCGAGTTGTTATATACACGTGTGTTAAGGAGGCTCCCCCCCCCCTCTCCATATAGCTTGAATAATTGGCCGGAGCAGCTTCGATCTGGCTTCCGAGACTCGAGGATCGTCATTTAATCTCGTGATTGGCGTTTTGACGGCTATTGCCGCTCTTCTCGTTTAATTATTCACGCTGCCGCTGCTACACCACCACACACACTTTGTACCGCTAGCCAATTCGTGTGCAGCCATTAAAGCATCGCTGGTGGCGCGTGATCGATTTCGAATTAGAGACGTTTTACGAGCTTTCCTTATTGATGGGAGACACGAAGGGGAGGTGTCACGAGTCGACCCGTTGGGAAAGGGAGGTATGAGATCCGAGAACGCGAGTGGGGAGGGGGGGTATACACACATAATTGGTGGTCAGTCAGATTCTCGGTCAGTCGAGCAGTGTCGGCAATAGCAGCGAGGGTTGATCGCGTTGCACGCAGGGATGGGGGGTGAGGGTAGCCTCGAGAATCCGGCTTCGGAAGTTTCTCCCCGTGGCCAAGGACGAGGAAACGGGGGCGCAAGCTGAGGAGGCCAGCTTGGAACAATTTCGGCACGCGCCCTCCTCCTCCTTCGCGTTTCCTCGCCCGAGTTGGGCGGCGAGTGACTTGCGGCCAAGTGGCCACACCAAGTCGGCACATACAAGAGCTACAACGTATATATACACCCGCTAGTGTCTATCCAGTGGCAACAACAATTGTCACGCCTCGCCTCGTACTCCCCCCCGACCGTTTTCACTTGCATATTATACCCCATCAACCGGCCCGTCTCGCTCGGGCTATCTCTGTGCTTATACCTATACGTATATATCCCATGTCTCCTATAAGCGTTTCTCCGTTAACTGTAAGTACTTACACTTGGATTGTTTTTTTTTTTTTTTAAATGATCAAACAAAATAGAATCAATAGGGGGAAAAAAGGAGGTGGGAGAGGATGAAGTGTTACAAATTAATTAAATCGAAAGTATTTGTCGGGCGAGTTTTGAAACGGTAAACAATGAAATCGACTGACAAAACGTCACACACCTTACGTTACACACTATGGATTAAGCTATCGTGTGCGTATACAAGAGTGGGAAATGGGATAAAAGCTCCCCCGCATCACGTACAGATACAATATACTGCGAGCAGGTGTTGTGTGTGCGGTGCGTATAGGGTGTATCGGCCAACTATATACCTGTTTCCAATAAAATAAGCTCGCTTAATAACGCGCAAACTAGTCCCGTGCAGCGGCAGCGCGGCGAGAGCTTATACACACATATATACGCGTTAAATAACTAACGTGGCCTGCATTGCGACTCCCTCGCCACCTCCTCGTGACCCCCTGCTTTGCCGCCACTTGTATACGCACGTCTACTTGTACAATATATGTACGCACGTCAGCTAATACACAACTGTATGTATTATTATATGTATATATACACACCGTCCTCCTCCTCCTCCTCTTTCTATAATAATGTACACACATACGCTATGGCGTTGATACGTATGTATATATATGACTCTCTCCGAGCTCTCCACATAGTTTCACAATTATCCCTGCAGCTCCCCATATACGTATATCATACTCGTACCTATAAGCTGTATACAACGCGTTGCCCCCTCGGCGCACTATGTAGGTAATACAACGCGTTGACGTCGCCAGCTCTCGGATCCGAACAAAATACATATACGGTGTTTCGATTTATAAACGGCAGAGAGAGAGAGACGGCCTTGCAGCTTCGGAGCTTAATTTCACTCTCTAATGTATATGTATATAGGTAATATTTCCCTCCGCTGTACACTTATCCCAACGATAATACTTACTACGTCTCCTTCGATCGATTGTGCGTGTAAAGGCGCGTATAGGCGATTGTTTCCGCGAAACGCGATCGGATGAGCCCGTCCAATGCCATTTGAACAAAGTTTGTATCTATATTTATGAGGTGGACAAAGAGAAATTCGCGCACAACAAACGCTGCGCAATTACCGGTGATTCACGCCTTCAAAAATCGCTTTGGAGTTTATCTGCATACGCGAGCCGTTACAAAGCGAGGCAGCTAAGAAAAATCGTTCCGCATAAAATGTATGTATGTATATATGCTCCTTCCGTCCCGCAGCGCTGAAGAACGTATTGGTTTCTATAAATATGTTGCGACACCGAGCGAGAATCCCAGGAAAGAGAGCAGTTTACGCAGCACAAACGACAACCGTCTTAATAACCCTCTGCCCCTCGAGAGAAAGAGGACGCGATATGGCACCGGCAGGGAAAAAGAAATTTGCGCTCGACGGAGTCATTGCTCCCTATAACGATGTATACGTATACATATGTTTTTGTAAAAGCGCGTCGCGAGAGAAAAGCCGCGTCCTCGCGAGATTGATTTACTTTTCGGAGGTGAATCGCACGAGGTCGGTGTATACATATATTATATTGTATGGTCATAAGTCAGCCAGGATTGAAGGCGAGAGAGGGACGCCCGTCGATTATCAATGAGCTGTGCGCTACACTGCTCCTTTTGTTTTGCGCATCGAGGCAATTTCTCGGCTGTTCGCTCCGAGAGATCCGATGGATGAGTTTTGCAACACCGTATTATATCGTCCACCATAGCTTTTAGAAGACGTAGGTGGTACTTTCATACGTAATAAATCTCATTATCGTTCTTGTTTAGCGCCGAACAAAGATTTTTCGCAAACAAATCGTGTAGATCCCATGGTGGATAAAAACCCTCGCGCATCAGATTATGGAAGCCAAAAGTTTTGCCGGCGCGGATATACACACTTATAACACACATAGACGCGCGGGGCACAGCCGACCGGCGGGGAATCTCCCACCACACTCCTCCTCCTCCTCCTCTCCGCGACGACTCCGAAGGGTTTGGTGAGTGGAGGGGGGGGTCTGGTACGCGGGACGTCAGGAGAGGGGCGGAGGAGAGCGCAACTTTGCGAAACCCCCGCTCGGCGGCGGCACTTACCGATCTCCGAATCGTGCATTTACGAGTTGAGTTGAGTCACGCGGGCTCTCGTGCGCTGTATATTGTATACTTGCACAGAAACGGCGGCGCGTCAAGAGCTGTTGCAGCAAATGAACTGTACGGAGTATTATATACAACTAGAGGGAGTACCGTGCTCGTTCGGCTCAATTACGAAAACAAACAGCGAAAAAATGCAGCTCTCGGCCTCATCCTCTTCCAGACCTAAATTGAGTTTCGCTCTTCCCAGTTCATCGATTGCTAATTATCTACGTTCATACGTATTATTCATGTTTCAAGTCACTTTTTTTTTTTTTTTTTTTTTTCGAAGGCACTTGTATATAGTACTTGAAAATAGACACGAGGTTGAGTTTGGAAATAGCTGGAATCACCGATTTACGTCCAAAATCGGTCTAGACCTCCAGGCGAGACTGCGGCGTTTAAGAGCGTTTACGACGTGCGAGTGGATATGATTAG